TCTGGCCTAGTTAGTACTTGGATGGGAGACCTCCTGGAAATACTAGGTGCTGTAGGCTTCTAATAAATAAAATAAATAAAAAATAAAAAATCTTTAAAAAAAAAAAAAAAGTAGAAATTGGAATAAATGGTTTAGCTAGTAGTATGTGGAATGTTTCCTTTGAGAGATAAGACCTAAAGCAACATCTTTACTTTCTAACAATTTATACCAGTGTCTTAAAACTCTTCTGGGACATGGACCTTTTTGATAAACTAATAATAACTCTACTAGAAAAGTTCACAGACACATCTACAAAATTTTTTTCATAGGCCATAAGAATATTTATAATCAACCACTGCCACTCAGTAAAGTCCCCACTAAGAAGCCTTATATACATACTGAACCAAAATTTGAACTTAGTTTTTGGACCATGTTGTCTAGTAAGCAAAAATGACTTTTCTAGCAGGGAGGGAAGGTTGCCACATTTTTAGATATGTATAAGAATAAACCAATTTTTAATATTTAGCCTTCTGATACAATTGATTAGAACTATGTAATAGATAATACTTCAGTGGAAACTATTAAAGTTTAATAGTTAATTAACTGTGTTAAAACAATGAAGACTTATTCATTCTATAAATATTTACCTCTATACCGATTACTTAAGAATTAAGATGTATTAAAACACCAGAGATTTAAAATCATACTTCATGAGCCAAAAAAGGATGCCACTGTTTATTACCTTATAAAATACTTAAGAATTAGAAATTGCAGGTGGCAGGGGGAGGGAGAGCATTAGGACAAATGCCTAATGCATGCAGGGCTTAAAACCTAGATGACGGGTGATAGGTACAGCAAACCACCATGGCACATGTATACCTATGTAACAAACCTACACTTTCTGCACATGTATCCCAGAACTTAAAGTAACATTTTTTAAATATTAAAAAAAAAAAGAATTAAAAATTGTTTCCAGGAGCAGTGTACTACACGTTTTCACAGAGTATTTTTTCCTAAACTCTTTGATGGTCTTTTGCCTTTTCTCTAAAAGTTCTTGGGTTTAACCTGTCCATCCTAAAGACCCTTATGATCATTAAGAGGACAATTATTTCTCTACATGGCAAAAGATACTGATAACCTTTTTATAATTTGCCAGTGAAATCAAGCTCAAACACCAAGTTTTTGGGGGAGAAAAATGAGGCGCAGTGACTGACAGTCTTCATTTGCATAAACATCAAAAAACTCATCACCTCTACTGTAACTAGAACAAGAAGAAGACTATATAGCATGAGGTTTTAAGGATAATACATCACTGAGCAGGTTTTACGTAGAGAAATTGACTGTGAATCACATTTTGTAGTGGGAGTATTCAGTAACAAAACAAATACTCGAGTAAGATTTATTATTTAAAAAGCAGCACTCCATGTTTTGGCAAAATGGACATAAAGTTTGGGTCCTAAAACTTTTTTCCCACAGGTGGTTCATCATGTCACACTTACTCAAAAAGTTTCATAAATGCAAAGAGCAAAAGTTAATGTTGCTGAGAAATGCTCTGAGCATTTGAATTATTAAAGTTCAAAACAAATTAACATTTAATGAATACCTGCTATATGCAAGGTATTACATATTAAAAGCTGTAAACTTCATAGTTTTTTTTAACCTCAAATTTAACAAAAAATTAAGACATATATAAAACTAAATATGGGTTATACATTTATATAATTATAACAGGATATCACAAAGTAGCACCTTAATAATAATTATCAAATTTAGATAATCAATGCTAGATAAGCCCTTATGATAGAGATGCTACTTCAGTCTTACAGTCACTATGAGATCTTCTAAGGACAAAGAGAATGTATGCAGGTAAACAGAAAGTTGTATATTTCAATGTAAAATAATTTGAAAAGACATTAATCAAAGTTAGATATCCTTACTTTGAGATTATAATGTATTACTTACCAGGTCCTGAGACCCCATGCACATAACCAAATGTGCTTTCTTTATCTTCATTGAGTATTTTGGGTAGCTTGGAAAAATCCATCATGTTAGTTTACCTATGGCAAATAAAAAAATAAGTTATAATTATAAACCCTAAAGCAAAAGAACCAATATAGGTAGTCCACTAAGATGAGACGACTCTTATCTTTGGTGTACTCTTATTATACTTCTTCAAAGTAGAATATAAAAATTTTCTTTTCCTTAATTTAAAAAAAAATTTTAAGAGGCTCTCTGTCACCCAGGCTAGAGTGTGGTGGTACAGTCATAGCTCACTGCAGTCTCAAACTCCTGGACTCTAGCGGTCCTCTCACCTTAACCTCCCAAGTAGCTATGGCTACAGGTGTGTAGCACCATGCCCAGCTAGTGTTTTTGTTTGTTTGCTTGTTTTGAGACAGAACCTAACTCCATCACCCAGGCGGAATGCAGTAGAGGGATCTCTGCTAACTGCAACCTCTGCCTCCCAAGCAATTCCTGTGCCTCAGCCTCCATGGTAGCTGGAATTACAAGTGCACGTGATCATGCACGGCTAATTTTTGTATTTTTAGTAGAGACAGGGTTTTGCCATATTGGCCAGGCTGTTCTCAAACTCCTGACCTCAAGTGATCCGCCCACCTCAGCCTCTCAAAGTGCCGGGACTACAGATGTGAGCCACAGAACCCAGCCAAAATTCCTAAAATGTAGTTAAAAGTACCCTCTTCCTGGATGCTCGATGGTTATATCACAACTGAATTATATCTCTATGTGAGGCATTTCATAGGAAATATCAGTAAGTACTGATAAAAACGTGAAGTCTTCTCAACAACTTATGCAGTCCTCTAACAACCCCATCCTCAATTATCGCTCTGACTTCTCCAACTACTCTTTTGCTTAATCATGCTGCATATACATACTAACTCTTTGTCAGTTCTCAGAAACACAAGCACATTCTACCTCAGGGCCTTTGTACAGGTTGTTCCTTCTGCTTAAAATGTTCTTCTCCAAGGTATCTGCTCCTACACCTCCTTCAGAGTTTGTTTTGTTTTGTTTTTTTGTTTTTTTAACACAGGGTCTGGCTCTGTTAACCAGGTGGGAGTATAGTGGTATAATCATGGCTCACTGCAGACTCAACTTCCTGGGCTCAAGAAATTCTCCCACCTCATCCTCCCTAGTACCTGGTACCACAGGTGTGTGCTGCCACATCTGGCTAATTTTATTTTATTTTCTGTGAAGGATCTCACTATGTTGCCTAGGCTGGTCTTGAACACCTGGGCTCAAGTGATTCTCTGGCCTTGGCCTCCCAAAAGTGTTGGGATTACAGGTGTGAGCCACCATGTTCAGCACTCCTTCAGATCTTTACTCAAACGTCACATTCTCCATGAGGCTTCTCTGCCCATTTACTTAAAACTGCAACATCCTCCCTCCTTCCCTACTTTATTTTATACCATAGCACTTTTCACATGTAACAAATGATATATTTTATTTATTTTAAAAGTATTTATTTATTTTAAAAGTATTTATTTATTACCTATCTTTAAATTTTAACTAGGAACGGTTTTCCTTTTTTCTTTTAGTGGAACACACCAAGTTGTTTAAGAAATTCATTTCAACCTCTTACTTTATATACAATCTAAAAAACATGAACTATCCAAGTTCACATTAAATACTGGTAACAGATTCCAAAGGAGAAAGTTTATTTTTGACTGCTGGTATACCTTAATAACTATTACCAATTTAATGAGGGAGATGAAATACATGTACATAGGGAAAGCTAAATAATGTCCCAAAATAACCACAAAGAAAGAATCATAGATCAATAAGTGATAAAGTACCAAATAATATATTCTTATTTACTGAAAATTCAAATATTAGAATGTTTAGAGAAGACATCTTGAAGGTCAGGTAGAGCAGAAAAGGAAAGGTAGCAAAGACATTGTGGGGGTGTGGTGCCAATAACAAAAGAATGGAAATAAAACATTCACGAATAGTGAACAGACCAGTCTAACTGGTATAAAAGACTTATATTAGGGCAGCAGTGAGATATAAGCATATAAGGGTAAAGACTAATTTGCAGGTCTTGAACTGACTACCAAGATAACAAGTGGCCTTTATCTGATAAACACAAGGAAAGAACTATTGAGGAAGAACTATTATGAGAAAAATGGTACTCAATTACATTAACAGAATTAAAGTAGGAGAGGCAGGATAAGTTGAAAAAGCTTTGGAAATAGGTAAGGCTTGAATGTCAATGGAATTCCATTTATCACATGTTTACAGAGCTTTTGAAGCTTTAAACAGCTGTACAGTGAAGCAACATGACTTAAATGCACAACTGAGGTACAAACACCACCTTGGGAGCAGAGGAGAAACTGATTCCAACAGGAAGAAGTGTAGACCGATATGGATGAAGCATAGTGAACAAGTAGCTGTAAAGTAAGTTTTTGTTTTTGTTTCTTTGAGCAAGTTCTCGCTGTCACACAGGCTGGAGTGCAGTGGCGCGATCACGGCTCACTGCAGCCTCGACCTCCTCGGCTCAAGTGATCACCTCAGCTGCCCCCTCCTCACCCCACTCAGTAGCTGGCATGACAAATGTGCTCCACCACACCGAGCTAATTTTTGCATTTATTGTAAAGACAGGGTTTCACCACGTTGCCCAGATTGGCCTCAAACTCCTGGGCTCAAGTAATCTGCTTTCCTCAGTGTACCAGTGCTGGGATTACAGACATGAGCCACCATGCCCTGCAGAAATTTATTAAGATTTCTGGCTTCCTGAAGATACAGTGGAAGAAGTCATTAAGAACAGACACAGAATTATAAAAATTGGAATCTAAAGAAACAGAATGAGACTTCCTAGAAACTATAAGAGAATACAGGGGAGAACAGAAAGAAGAATTACATCTTTAATTGGAAAATAGGTTGGGAAAAGTCTTCAAAGAAGTAGTGAACAAATGAATGAAGTGAAATTTCAATCTTCCAAAAATCAAACATTTTCAGTCAGAGAAGAAACTGACAATCATAAACAGTCTTAAGTTCCTCCTCAGATATGGATATTTCCTCTATAACATTCATGATACATGGTCATCTGCCCATTAAAGTGGAAACAGCATGAGATCTTGGGTCAGCAGACTTGGGGTCACATTCTGGTCCTATCAATAACATGCTGCAAAACATCTGGGACAAATCAAAATCTCCCAATATCTACATTTGAAAAACAATAATAATGCTACCACCTACCCCAGACTTGTGACTGCATTACAAATTTGTTTAAAGGTTCCTTGTGGCTGAGCACAGTAGCTCATGCTGGTAATCCCAGCACTTTAGGAGGCCAAGGTGGGTGGATCACCTGATACCAGGAGTTCGAGACCAGCCTGACCAAGAGGGTGAAACCTCGTCTGTACTAAAAGTACAAAAATTAGCTAGGCATGGTGGTGGGCGCCTGTAAGTCCTGCTACTCAGGAGGCCGAGGCAGGAGAATCGCTTGAACCCAGGAGGTGGAGGTTGCAGTGAGCCGAAATCACACCACTGCATTCCAGCCTGGGTGACAAGAAGGAAACTCCNAAAAAAAAAAAAAAAAAAAAAAAAAAAAAAAAAAAAAAAAAAAAAAAAAAAAAAAAGAGCAGTTGACTCCCTTACATGGTGGGTGAGGGATCTGATATAGGTCATAAATGAGATTCATGTGCCACAGAGTGTCTGGCATCAAGTGAGAGGACTACAAGCATATATTCCTTTTTATTCATGGTATGGGAACAATGCACCTTGGATTATGTAGCCAAGAGGTGCTCTCTCTGACTGGTGCAGCTAGGGCTGGTCCTCAGCGGAGGCCAGATTGGAACTGGGCCTTAAAGGATGAATGTCTAGGAGAGAAGAGTGGCTGAGGAGCATTCCCACAAGAGAACAGCATAAGCACAGTCCTAAAGACATGAATCTGTTTGCTAAAGAGATCTGGTATGGCTGAAGCTCAGGTTTGTTATAGGAAATGAGACTTAAAAGATGTTAAAATGGCTGGGCACAGTGGCTCACACCTATAATCCCAGCACTTTGGGAGACCAAGGCGGGTAGATCACTTGAGCCCAGAAGTTGGAGACAGCCTGGGCAACATGGCAAGACCTTGTCTCTATAAAAATTACAAAAATTAACCCAGCATGGTGGTATGTGCCTATAGTCCCAGCTACTTGGGAGGCTGAGACAGAGTGCGACCCTGTCTCAAAAAAAAAATTGTTGAATTGACGTTCATGTCATGCTAAAAGCTTTTATTTAAAAAGAAGCCAGGTGTGGTGGCTCACACCTGTAATCCCAGCACTTTGGGAGGCCAAGGCAGGCGGATCATGAGGTCAGGAGTTCGAGACCAGCCTGACCAACATGGTAAAACCCCACTTCTACTAAAACTACAAAAATTAGCTGGGTGTGGTGGTGCATACCTGTAAGACCAGCTACTGAGGAGGCCGAGGCAGGAGAATCGCTTGAATCCAGGAGGTGGAGGTTGCAGTGAGCCGAGATTGTGCCACTACACTCCAGCCTGGGTGACAGAGCAAGACTCCAGAAAAAAAAAAAAAAAAAAAAAGTTCCGTGTGAAATGTAAAATGCTTACAAAAATGTCATCAGTAACACTATTTGAATATAGTCCTCAATTTGGAAAAAGCCATTCTGTTTTTAGAAATGCTATCCCTCCTATCCAACCTAAATCTACTTCCCTTAACTTCTATCCTCTAGCCCTATTTTTTCCAATTACTATAGCCATACACAGTATGTTTCCCCTCCAAGCAAATTCTCTTTAGTGCCTGCCACTGTCCCTCAAACATACTCATTTCAGATCCCCCACTCCTGAGACTACCCTTTTCTAGAAGTATTTCATGATGTCACTATTTTCTTTAAATGGTATAGATAAAACAAGATTCTAGATGCTGTATGAGTGAGTACTGAAGAGTACTGCTTCACCTGTTCTGAATTTTTTTTTTTTTTTTTTTAAGACAGTCTCATTTTGTCGCCCAGGTTGGAGTGCAGTGGCATGACACTGGCTCACTACAACCTTCGCCTCCTAGGTTCAAGCAATTCTTGTGCCTCAGCCTCCTGAGTAGGTGGG